AGTCCTGTACCTGGCGGCTTGCTTTCTCACTTTCTCTCTCTCTCTCTCTCTCTCTCTCTCTCTTTTTCTTACTTGTTTACTCTCTCTCTCTCTAGTCAAATTAAAATAAATAAATAAAGCTAAATAAAATAATTCTTAAAAAAAAAAGAAATGGAATGAGATGGGAAAACATTAGTAGAAAAGCCAGGAAAGCAGGATTTCCCCACCACTGTATCCCTGGGACAGGGTCTGGCACATGGCACCCTGGAAGTATCTGTGGAAAGGATGAGTGAAATTTCTAGTTGTGAGTACAGTCAGGGCAGAACCATGGCTGTCTTTGTCCCTGCTGGGCTCCTACTGACTAGGTGCTCTGGTAATATTCACTGACACCATAAGATGCTCCTTGCTTTAGATGTGGGTCCTAGGGAACCTTCCCTTCTACCTGACTCCATTATTTATTCAACCAACCAATCAATTTCTGAGATTCTGTGATAGGCCAGGCAGCCTGGAACCTTTTATATAAGCCACATCTATTTTCCTTCTCCTTCATCTTTTCCAGTTTGCCTCAGCTAGTTGGGATAGAGGCCCAGGAATATTCCAGGAAATGGCTCTCAAATGTGGGAGTGGTGGGGGATTCTATTTCCCCCAGCCCCCCCTCAACCCCCCCCCAGCATACTTGGCAATATCTAGAGACACATTTAGTTGTCATATCCTGGAACGAGGGCAGGGAATGCTAATGGAATCTAGTGGGTAGAGGCCAAGGATGCTGCTAAACAACCCATGATACATAAGACAGTCCTTAAACAATGACCTGGCCTCAAATGTCAATAGTACCAGCATTTAGAAACCCTTTTAGGCTGGGTTCTTCTAATTTCTGCCTAGTGAACTCTGGCATTGTGATTGGATGGTGAGTGTCATGCAGGCAGGCACTGCATCTGTCCTGTTTGCCAGGGACTGTAGGGCCTGTCATGGTGTTCATGGATACACACTTTTTAAGCTATGGTGACTCTGCAGGCTGGGACGCAATTAAGTCCTTCAACCTTTCTGAGTCTTTTTTTCCTTTTTAAAAGACCTGCCTTGCCTGGTCCTGAAGGTATATTGCTGCCCTTTCTTGCTCCAGGCAGTTTCCTCTGGTGTCCCTTGCCCTGTTTCCCGCCACCAGAAATTTTGGGGAAAGAACACCACTTACTGTTGATGGACTTGAGGTCACGGTGGATGATGGGCACAGGGGCATCATTGTGTAGGTAGTTCATGCCCCGCGCCACCTGCACGGCCCAGTTGACCAGCACATGAGGGGGCACCCGGCGACCTGCCAGCACCCTGCTCAGTGCACCCCCACGGGCATATTCCATCACTAGGCAGAGGTGTGGGGGGTTGAGGCAGGCACCCCTAAGGGCAATGATGTTGGGGTGCTGCAGGGCGCCGAAAAGCCGGGCCTCCTGGCGCACCTGCTCTGCTGTGACTGCCGGGTCCCGCTCAGGGTCCAGCCTGGCGGCCTTGACAGCCACCTCCACCCCCCGCCACAGGGCCCGATAGACCTTGCCAAAGCCTCCCACACCGATGATTTCCTCTAGCTGCAGCTCATGGAAGGGGATCTCCTGAGGCAGCTGGAGGCCCTGCGGCAGGTGCTCCGGGGGCCACGTAGTTGCTGGGGAAGACGCCTACACGTCCGCTGGGTAGCTGCCCGGTCCACCAGCCCTCGTCGCCAGACACAGCAAAGTCCTGGGAAAGCACCTGGACGCGGTCGCCCCTCCGCAGCGTCAGCTCCTCGTCGCCTGCCGCCTCGTAGTCGAATACCGCGGTCCAGACGGGCCCGGTGGGGGTGGTACCCCACTCTTTGGCCGGCCCCTCTTCCTCCTCCTCCATGGGGGTGGGGCCGGGGGCTGAGGGAGGCCGTTTCACGCTGGCTGTCCGAGGGATGCAGAGGGCGGGGCCCAGCGGCCAGGATGGGGGGTAGTCCCTGCGGGTTCTAGGGACCTCCTGGGGGCCATGGCTGGGGGCCTTTCGCAGGAGCAAGGAAAAAAAGTCCCTTTTAAAGGGCAGGGTCTTTCCCT